GGGGGGGGGGGGGGGGGGGGGGGGGGGAGAGGGGGGGGGGGGGGGGAGAGCGGGGGGGGGGGAAAGGGGGGAGGGGGGGAGGAATAAAGGGGGGGGGGAGGGGGGAGGGGGGGGGGGGGAGGGGGAAGGGGGGGGAAGGGGGGGGGGGGGAGGGAGGGGGGGGGGGGGGGGGAAAGGATGGGGGGGGGAAAGAGGGGGGGAGGGAGGGGGGGGGGGGGGGGAGGGGAGGAGTGAGGAGGGGGGGGGGGGGGGGGGGGGGGTGGGGGGGGGAGGGGGGAGGGAGGAGGAGGGAAGGGAAGGGGGAGGGGATGGGGGGTAGGGGAGGGGGGGGGAAGGAGGGAGGGGGGGAGAAGGGAATGGGGGGTAGGGGAAGAAAGAGGGGGGGGGGGGAGGGCAGGGAGGGGGGGGGGGAGGGGGGATGGGGGGGGGGGAGAGGGGGGGAGGATAGGGGGGAAAAGAAGGAAGGGGGAGGGAGGGGAGGGGGGGGGTGGGGAGGGGGGGGGAGGGGAGGGAGAGGGAAAGGAGAGAGGGGGGGGGAGAGGGGGCTAGAAGTGGTACCCCAAGAATATTTCTAGGGAATTTTAGTCTTAAGAGTTGATTAAGATGTACTAGCCCCCCAGAACCAGTATAAAGTAGAGAGGGTGTCAACCAGCACCCCCCCCCCCCCTAGGAAGAACGATGAGGTCCAAGCAGGGGAGAGAGGGCAAAGGAACGCTTCCGGAGGGCCTTTGTCATATGCAGGGGACAAAGAGAAGTGTACTAGTAGTTAACATCATTTCCACAAGAAGATAAGACGAAGAGAAGCAGGTACAGACAGGAAGTACCTGAGGAGGAAGAGAAAGGGCATGGGGTCTAACAGTCTCAGGAGGAGGGAGGGAAGGATTGGGACAGTACCCAGACTAATCTCCCCCAGTACCATCCTTGGAAGGAGAGAGGATGGGGTCTACAGTCTCCCCCCCCCGCCTCAGGACCAAGAGAGAGTGGGGGTCTACCAGTCTCCTGACATCCCCCCCCAGGAGGGAAAGAGAGGAGAAATGGAGTGTCTACAGTCTCCCCCCCTCCAGGAGGGAAGAGGGACGGGGTCCCGCAGCTCTTCCCCCCCCCCGGGGAGTGGAAGAGGGAGGGGTCAGCAGTCTTTTCCCCCCCCCCGGGAGGAGAAGGAAGAGAGGAGGGGTTCCATAGCTGTCTTCTTCCCCCCCCCCCGGGAGGTAGACGGGGAGGGAGTCCGCAGTCTTCTTCCCCCCCAGGGAGGAATGAGGGTGGGGGATAAGGGAGAAACAGATGGGGAGGGATCCGCAGTTCCCCCCCCCCCCAGGAGGAAGAGGAGGAGGGATCCGCAGTCTTTCCCCTGACCCCCCGGAGGATGAGGGGGGGGGTCCGCAGTCATCCCCCCCTCCGGAGGAAGAGTGAGGGAGTCCATGTGATGGGACAGTTCTTCCCCCCCCCCCGGATGGAAAGAGAGAGGGGGGTACGTCTTGCCCCCCCCCTCCCCAGGGAGAAAGAGGAGAGGTGGGGGTCCGCAGTCTTCCCCCCATAATTGGAGGAGGGATAAGGAGAGGGGTCCCGTATCCCCAGACTTTCCCCCCCATCCCCCCCCCGAGGACGAGAGAGGGGTCCGCAGTCTCCCCCCCCCCACTGGAGAGTCCAGAGAGGGGTCCACATTTGGGGATCTCCCCCCCCCCCCCAGGAGGAAAGAGAGAGGGGGGTATTTGCCCCGTCCTGCCATTTGGGGGGGGGGGGGGGGGGATATCTGTCCCGTCCTGACATTTGGGGGATATCTTGTTACCGTCCTGACATTTGGGGGATATCTGTACCGTCCTGACATTTGGGGGGATATCTGTACGTCCTGACATTTGGGGGATATCTGTCCTGTCCTGACATTTGGGGGGATATCTGTACCGTCCTGACATTTGGGGGATATCTGTACTGTCCTGACATTTGGGGGATATCTGTCTTTGTCCTGACATTTGGGGGGATATCTGTCCTGTCTTCTGACATTTGGGGGATATCTGTCCTGTCCTGACATTTGGGGGATATCTGTACTGTCCTGACATTTGGGGGATATCTGTACCGTCCTGACATTTGGGGGATATCTGTGTCCTGTCCTGACATTTGGGGGATATCTGTACCGTTCTGACATTTGGGGGATATCTGTACCGTTCTGACATTTGGGGGGATTCTGTACCGTCCTGACAATTTGGGGGATATCTGTTGTACCGTCCTGACACTTTGGGGGGATATCTGTTACCGTCCTGACATTTGGGGGGATATCTGTACCGTCCTGACATTTGGGGGGATATTCTGTACCGTCCTGACATTTGGGGGATATCTGTACCGTCCTGACATTTGGGGATATCTGTGCTGTCCTGACATTTGGGGGATATCTGTTACCGTGTCCTGACATTTGGGGGGATATCTGTGCTGTCCTGACACTTTGGGGGATATCTGTACCGTCCTGACATTTGGGGGGGATTTGTTACCGTTCCTGACATTTGGGGGGGGGGATTTTGTACCGTCCTGACATTTGGGGGGGATTTGTACCGTCCTGACATTACCATGGCTCCGCGCCCCGCTTCCTTCTCATCATGAGGGAAGATCCCTCAGTAATCCCACCCCCGAGCATGGAGGAAAGGAAGAGATCCTTGTCTTCCCTCCCAAGAGAAGTGTCCCCAGTCCCCCCCCCCAGAAGACAGGAATGCCCCCCAATTCAGGAGAGATCCCTCACTCACACCTTGAGGACAGCAAAGCCCCCCCCCCCCCGCCCCGACCTGGAGCTCAGACCTCAGACTACAGAGAGTCCTCCAATGTCTGGGAGGGATCGGCAGTATGTGGGCGGGGTGAGGGAGGGTGGGCGGGGACTCTGAAGCAGATGGGAATTATGGGAAGGCATACCTGGCTGAAGGTGGGGTTTGTTATGAAGTCGCGAGCATCGGTCTCCATGGCGAACACGCCCCAATCTTGAAATAAAATGGAACAATTGACCCTGAAAAAAGAGAACAAAGTCCTGTGAGAACGCTGCAAACCAGGGGCCCCACAGACCACGCCCCCAAAAATGTAGGGGGCCCCTCCGCTATACACACAACCCCCACCCCCCCAAATGTAGGGGCCCCTCCGCTATACACAAACCCCCCACCGCCCCAAAATCCCCAAATGTAGGGGACCTTCTCCAGACAAGACAACCCACCAAAAGAGGAACTGGTCTTTCTACATACCACACCCCCTGAGTAATGAGGACCTGTCTGAGCTCCTCTACAGACCACATCCAAATGAAATGAGGGACCTGCCTGGACCTCTTTAGTCCCCCCACCCCCCCCCAATGAAGATGACCTGCCTGACCTTCTCTATAGACCACACCTCTGAATGAAGAGGATTTCCTTGACCTCATCTATAGATCACAGACCACACCCCTGAATGAAGAGGACCTGTGACCTTCTCAACAGACACACCCCCTGAATGAAGAGGACCTGTGACCCTTCTCAACAGACCACACCCCTGAATGAAGAGGGACCTGTGACCTTCTCTACAGACCACACCCTCTGAATGAAGAGGACCTGTGACCTTCTCTACAGACCACACCCCTGAATGAAGAGGACCGGTGACTTTCTACACCTATACAGCTCACAATGAGATGCTGGTGCCAGAGGTCCCCACGTTCTGAGGGCCCCTCCAGAGAATAACACACAGGAGCTCAGGAACCACCAGTCTCCTTTAATAGCTTGTTCTGGATCCACAATCAGTACCAGACTTTCATGGCAAACCTTCTGAAAATGCCATTCCCCCTGGCCATGTGTCCGGTCTATAGAGCGCAGGACAGTCATCTGATCAACAGCTCCAGCTTTATATACTAGTCCCAGGCCCGTGACTCCAAGAATCGATGCCAGAGAGCCAGGAAACCAGCCACCAGAGTCCAGAGGCAGCCAGGAAACCAGCATGTCCAGAGGCAGCCAGGAAACCAGCATGTATAGAGTCCAACCCCAGCCAGGAAACCAGCGGGGCCAGAGGCAGCCAGGAAAACCAGCGAGGCCAGAGGCAGCCAGGAAACCAGCCGAGGCCAGAGAGCCAGATTGGGACAGCCAGGAAACCAGCGAGGCCAGAGGCAGCCAGGAAACCAGCGAGGCCAGAGGCGGGGAGGCCAGGCAGGAAACCAGCGAGGCCAGAGGCAGCCAGGAAACCAGCGGAGGCCAGAGGCAGGCAGCCTAGGAGGAAACCAGCGAGGCCAGAGGCAGCCAGGAAACCAGACGAGGCCAGAGGCAGCCAGGAAAACCAGCGAGGCCAGAGGCAGCCAGGAAAACAGCAGCGAGGCCAGAGGCAGCCAGGAAAACCAGCGAACCCTTGGCCAGAGGCAGCCAGCAAACCAGCGAGGCCAGAGGCAGCCAGCAAACAGCGAGGCCAGAGGCAGCCAGCAAACCAGCATTCCCAGAGGCAGCCAGCAAACCAGCATTCCCAGAGTCCAGAGGCAGCCAGGAAACCAGCATGTCCAGAGGCAGCCAGGAAACCAGCGAGGCCAGAGGCAGCCAGGAAAGCACCCCCACCCGAGGCCAGGGAGTCCTCAGAGCAGGAAACCAGGAGTCCAGAGACAGCCTAGGAAGCGGCCAGAGGCAGCCAGGAAAACCAGCATTTCCCAGAGTCCAGAGACAGCCAGGACGTCCCAGCGAGGCCAGAGGCAGCCAGGAAAGACAGCGAGTTCCCAGAGTCCAGAGTGACAGCCCCCCACCTCCCATGGTCCTCTATGGAACGTCCTCAGACAGCCTCCCCTACCTCCATGGTCCTCTATGGAACGTCCTCAGACAGCCCCCACCTCCCATGGTCCTCTATGGAACGTCCTCAGACAACCCTCCACCCCTATGGGAACGTCCCAGGGACAGCCCCACCTCCCATGGTCCTCTATGGAACGTCCTCAGGCAGCTCAGAACCTCCCTTGGTCCCTATGGACCTCAGGAAACCCCCACCTCCCATGGTCCTCTATGGAACGTCCTCAGACAGCCCCCCACCTCCCATGGTCCTCTATGGAACGTCCTCAGACAGCCCCCCCACCTCCCATGGTCCTCTATGGAACGTCCTCAGACAGTCCCCCACCTCCATGGTCCTCTATGGAACGTCCTCAGACGGCCCCCACCTCCCATGGTCCTCTATGGAACGTCCTCAGTTGGACCCCCCCACCTCCCATGGTCCTCTATGGAACGTCCTCAGACAGCCCCCCACCTCCCATGTTCCTCTATGGAACGTCCTCAGACAGCCCCCCACCTCCATGGTCCTCTATGGAACGTCCTCAGACAGACCCCCCCACCTCCCATGGTCCTCTACGGAACGTCCTCAGACAGTCCCCCACCTCCATGGTCCTCTATGGAACGTCCTCAGACGGCCCCCCACCTCCCATGGTCCTCTATGGAACGTCCTCAGACAGCCCCCCACCTCCCATGGTCCTCTATGGAACGTCCTCAGACAGCCCCCCCACCTCCCATGTTCCTCTATGGAACGTCCTCAGACAGCCCCCCACCTCCCATGGTCCTCTATGGAACGTCCTCAGACAGCCCCCCACCTCCCATGGTCCTCTATGGAACGTCCTCAGACAGTCCCCCACCTCCCATGGTCCTCTATGGAACGTCCTCAGACGGTCCCCCACCTCCCATGGTCCTCTATGGAACGTCCTCAGGAGCAGCCCCCCACCTCCCATGGTCCTCTATGGAACGTCCTCAGACAGCCCCCCACCTCCCATGGTCCTCTATGGAACGTCCTCAGACAGCCCCCCACCTCCCATGGTCCTCTATGGAACGTCCTCAGACAGGTCCCCCACCTCCCATGGTCCTCTATGGAACGTCCTCAGACGGCCCCCCACCTCCCATGGTTCCTCTATGGAACGTCCTCAGACAGCCCCCCACCTCCCATGGTCCTCTATGGAACGTCCTCAGACAGCCCCCACCTCCCATGGTCCTCTATGGAACGTCCTCAGACAGCCCCCCACCTCCCATGGTCCTCTATGGAACGTCCTCAGACAGCCCCTTACCTCCCATGGTCCTCTACGGAACGTCCTCAGACAGCCCCCCACCTCCCATGGTCCTCTATGGAACGTCCTCAGACAGTCCCCCACCTCCCATGGTCCTCTATGGAACGTCCTCAGACAGCTCCCCCACCTCCATGGTCCTCTATGGAACCGTCCTCAGACAGCCCCCCACCTCCCATGGTCCTCTATGGAACGTCCTCAGACAGCCCCCACCTCCCATGGTCCTCTATGGAACGTCCTCAGACAGCCCCCCACCTCCATGGTCCTCTATGGAACGTCCTCAGACAGCCCCCCACCTCCCATGGTCCTCTATGGAACGTCCTCAGACAGCCCCCCACCTCCATGGTCTCTATGGAACGTCCTCAGACAGCCCCCCACCTACCATGTTTTCCTCTATGGAACGTCCTCAGAGTAGCCCCCCTGACCTCCCATGGATTCCTCTATGGAACGTCCTCAGACGGTCCCCAACCCACCTCTATGGAAGATGGTCCTCTATGGAACGTCCTCAGACAGCCCCCCACCTCCCGATGGTCCTCTATGGAAACGTCCTCAGGACAGCCCCCCACCTCCCATGGGGAACGTCCTCAGACAGGTCCCCCTGACCCTTCCATGGTCCTCTACGCGGTCCGGAACGTCCTCAGACAGTCCCCCACCTTCCATGGTCCTCTACGGAACGTCCTCAGACAGGTCCCCCACCACCTCCCCATGGTCCCTCTATGGACGTCCTCAGGACAGCCCCCCACCTCCCATGTTCCTCTATGGAACGTCCTCAGACAGCCCCCTGACCTCCATGTTCCTCTACGGAACGTCCTCAGACAGTCCCCCACCTCCCATGGTCCTCTACGGAAAGTCCTCAGAGACGGTCCCCCACCTCCCATGGTCCAATATGGAACGTCCTCAGGACAGCCCCCACCTCCCGGTCCTCTATGGAACGTCCTCAGACAGCCGGTCCCCACCTCCCATGTCCTCTATGGAAAGGTCCTCCGGTGGACAGCCCCCCACTTCCAGGAATGGTCCAGTCTACGGAACGTCCTCAGACAGACCCCCTACCTCCCATGGTCCTCCCCGGGGTCAGGACAGGCCAATGTCACCTCCCATGGTCCCTTATGGAACGTCCTCAGCGGGGACAGCCCCCCAGCCGGACCCCCTGGTCCTCTATGGAACCTCCTCAGGTCCGGTCCCCCGAGGGCCTTCCCAATCTCTGCCCCGACTGAGTCACTTGCTGGCGTCTGCCCAATAGCTGACCTTTTGATCTCTACCACCGGGACTGACCTCTTCCGATCCTGCTACGGGACGGGACTCCACCACCGGGACTCGGACCTCTTCCTGATCCCTGCTACCCAGGGGACGGGACTCCACCCATATGGCGGGACTGACCTCAAAGGAGGCCTGATCCCTGCTACCGGGACGGGGCCCCACCACCGGGACTGACCTCTTCCTGATCTCTGTAACCGGTTACAGGACTCCACCACCGGGACTCAGGACCCTCTTCCTGACTCCCGGCGTACCGGGACCGGAGTACTCCACCACGTGGGGACTGACCTCTTCCTGATCCCTGCTACCGGGGGAGGGACTCACCACCGGGACTGACCTCTTCATGATCCCTGCTACCCGGGACGGGACTCCACCACCGGGACTGACCTCTTCCTGATCCCTGCAGAGGGCCCGGGTCGGGGTCCGGACTCCACCATCCCTGTGGGAACTGACCTCTTCTGATCCTGCTACGGGTCTGTCCGGATCTCCAATAGACGGGGACTGACCTCTTCCTGATCCCTGCTACCGGGACGGACTCCTCACCGGGGCGGACCTCTTCCTGAATCCCTGCTACCCCGCGACCGGGGACTCCACCACCTGGGGACTGACCTCTTCCTGATCCCTGCTACCGGGACCGCCCTCCACCACCGGGACTGATCTCTTCCTGATCCCTGCATACCGGGACCGACTCCACCACCGGGGACTGACCTCTTCCTGATCTCTGCCTCCAATACTGTTTCCTTAACTCTGCAGAGTAGCAGAGATCGGGGTCTGAGGCAGAGATCAGGAAAAGAGGTCAGTCCCGGTGGTGGTGTCCTGGTCCGGGAGTAGTGTGGATCGGGGAAGAGGACCGGTCCAGGGGGTCAGGAAGAGGCCGGTCCCGGTGGAGTCACGGACCGGTAGCAGGGATCAGGAAGAGGCAGTACATTTGGTCCCGGTGGCAAAGTCCGGTCCCGGTGTAGTCGGGGATCGGGAGAGGGTCGGTCCCGGTGGCGGAGTCTCCAGTTCCCGGTAGCGGGGATCGGGAAGAGGTCGGTCCGGTGGTGGAGTCACCGTCCCCATTCCTCTAGCGGGGATCGGGAAGAGGTCAGTCTCGGTTAGCAGGGATCAGGATTCCTCCATTGTCCCGTCCTCCATTCAGGAAGAGAGACCGGCCTCCGGGGGTCAGAAGAGGCCAGTCCCTGTGGTGGAGTCCGGTCTCCGGTCCCGTCCTATTCAGGGGTCAGGAAGCGGCCATTCCCGGTTAGCGGCCTCCATTTCAGGAAGAGGCCGGTCCCGGTGGTAGAGTCCCGGTCTCCATCCGGTAGCTCCATTCCTCCAGGAAGAGGCCGGTCTCCTCCTAGTCCTCCCGGCCAGACCAATGAATGGAGGCGGTCCAGTGTGTGAGTAGATTGGCGGGCTCGGACCCCAGGGGCCCCCCAGGATCAGCAGAGGGCCCCCTCAGTCACCATCCCCTTCTCCTTACTTATCCTTCTCGGTTCCGAAGATCGAAGCCAAATACTCACCATCTCTTCCCTCCTCACACCGCGCCGCTCCATTCCTCCTCACCGACCTGCGACTCGGAAACTCGTCATCGGTCCTCCCGCGACCACAGACCGCCAAACCAGGGGGAGGAGACACAGGGACCGCCCATAGGCGGGACGGCCGTACAAAGGAGGCAATAGAAGATCGGGAAGACATGGGCGGGGGCCTCACCAAAAGGGGGCGGGAAAATGACGACATGCGCATTTCATACTCAGGCTCTGTCTTCATTGTAATTGGTTATTGTAGAATACGGCGCGGAAAGAGAGGAGGGCGGGACATTGGCGGAAAGGGGCGGAGTATAGTAATGAGTGGGTGTGTGCGGACCAATCACAGCCTCCATCCAGTACAGCCGGCTATTCTCACATGTGACTGGACAGCAGAGAATTGTTACATTGTGTGTGTGTCCATTGGGGGGGTCAGGGATTGGATGATGTCATTGTCTGATATCCAATCAGAACGGGCGGAGTCTGATATCTCCTGTCCTCTGAAGGATCCAGATGTGGATCGCTCTTCAGAAGCTACTGATGTCTTCCCGCCATTAACCGTCCTCCATAACTGCCAACAAATGCGCCTCAACCGCATCTTCGCACGCCGTACAGCTCCATTTCTGACGGATCCCCATTGTCCTCCAGCCAATTTATAGAATCCCCCGCCCATCCCCGCCCACTGCCTGTCTTAGCTTTGGAGGAAGGCAGTTGTCGGGCAGGCCCAAAACATGGCTCAACTGTGCTCCATTCCTCCTCAATCCACCGTCCTCCACCACAGTTCTATTCCTCCATCACCGTCCTCCATTCCTCCATCATTCCTCCCGTCCTCCATTCCTCTATTATCATCACGTCCTCCATTCCTCTATTATCACCGTCCTCCATTCCTCCATCACCGTCCTCCATTCCTCCATCACCGTCCTCCATTCCTCCATCACCGTCCTCCATTCCTCCATCACCGTCCTCCCATTCCTCTATTATCCTCCATCACCGTCCTCCCTCCATCACCGTCCTCCATCCATCACCGTCCTCCATTCCTCCATCACCGTCCTCCATTCCTCTATTATCACCGTCCTCCATTCCTCCATCACCGTCCTCCATTCCTCTATTGTCACCGTCCTCCATTTCCATCACCGTCCTCCATTCCTCCATCACCGTCCTCCATTCCTCCATTATCACCGTCCTCCATTCCTCCATCACCGTCCTCCATTCCTCCATCACCGTCCTCCATTCCACCGTCCTCCATTCCTCCATCCATCACCGTCCTCCATTCCTATTGTCACCGTCCTCCATTCCTCCATCACCGTCCTCCATTCCTCCATCACGTCCTCCATTCCTCCATCACCGTCCTCCATTCCCATCACCGTCCTCCATTCCTCTATTCCTCCATCACCGTCCTCCATTCCTCTATTATCACCGTCCTCCATTCCTCCATCACCGTCCTCCATTCCTCCATCACCGTCCTCCATTCACCCTCCATTCCTCCATCACCGTCCTCCATTCCTCCATCACCGTCCTCCATTCCTCTCACCGTCCTCCATTCCTCCATCACCGTCCTCCATTTCTCCATTCCTATCACCATCCTCCTCCACCGTCCTCCATCACCGTCCTCCATCCTCCATCACCGTCCTCCATTCCTCCATCACCGTCCTCCATTCCTCCATCACCGTCCTCCATTCCATTCCTCCATCACCGTCCTCCATTCCTCCATCACCGTCCTCCATTCCTCCATTGTCACCGTCCTCCATTCCTCCATCACCGTCCTCCATTCCCGTCCTCCATTCCTCTATCACCGTCCTCCATTCCTCCATCACCGTCCTCCATTCCTCCATCACCGTCCTCCATTCCTCCATCACCGTCCTCCATTCCTCCATCACCGTCCTCCATTCCTCCATCACCGTCCTCCATTCCTCCATCACCGTCCTCCATTCCTCTCCATTCCTCACCGTCCTCCATTCCTCCATCACCGTCCTCCATTCCTCCATCACCGTCCTCCATTCCTCTTATTATCACCGTCCTCCATTCCTCCATCACCGTCCTCCATTCCCTCCATCACCGTCCTCCATTCCTCCATCACCGTCCTCCATTCCTCCATCACCATCCTCCATTCCTCCATCACCGTCCTCCATTCCTCTATTATCACCGTCCTCCATTCCTCTATTGTCACCGTCCTCCATTCCTCCATCACCATCGTCTCCATTCCTCCCTCACCGTCCTCCATTCCTCCATTATCACCGTCCTCCATTCCTCCATCACCGTCCTCCATTCCTCCATCACCGTCCTCCATTCCTCTATTGTCACCGTCCTCCATTCCTCCATCACCGTCCTCCATTCCTCCATCACACCGTCCTCCATTCCTCCATCACCGTCCTCCATTCCTCCATCACCGTCCTCCATTCCTCCATCACCTCCTCCTCCATCCTCCATCACCGTCCTCCATTCCTCTATTCCTCACCGTCCTCCATTCCTCCATCCCGTCCTCATCACCCCTCCATCTCCATCACCGTCCTCCATTCCTCCATCACCGTCCTCCATTCCTCTATTGTCACCGTCCTCCATTCCTCCATCATCGTCCTCCATTCCTCCATCACCGTGCTCCATTCCTCCATCACCGTCCTCCATTCCTCTATTATCACCGTCCTCCATTCCTCCATCACGTCCTCCATTCCTCCATCACCGTCCTCCATTCCTCCATCACCGTCCTCCATTCCTCCATCACCGTCCTCCATTCGTCCTCCATTCCCTCACCGTCCTCCATTCCTCCATCACCGTCCTCCATTCCTCCATCACCCGTGCTCCATTCCTCCATCACCGTCCTCCATTCCTCTATTATCACCGTCCTCCATTCCTCCATCACCGTCCTCCATTCCTCTATTGTCACCGTCCTCCATTCCTCCATCATCGTCCTCCATTCCTCCATCACCGTGCTCCATTCCTCCATCACCGTCCTCCATTCCTCCATCACCGTCCTCCATTCCTCCATCACCGTCCTCCATTCCTCCATCACCGTGCTCCATTCCTCCATCACCGTCCTCCATTCCTCCATCACCGTCCTCCATTCCTCCATCACCGTGCTCCATTCCTCCATTACCGTCCTCCATTCCTCTATTATCACCAGCGTCCTCCTCCTTCCGTCCATCACTATCCTCCATTCCTCCATCACCGTCCTCCATTCCTCCATCACCGTCCTCCATCACCGTCCTCCATTCCTCCATCACACCATCCTCCATTCCTCCATCACCGTCCTCCATTCCTCCATCACCGTCCTCCATTCCTCGTCCGTCCTCCATTCCTCCATCACCGTCCTCCATTCCTCCATCACCGTCCTCCATTCCTCCATCACCGTCCTCCATTCCTCCATTCATCAGCGTCCTCCATTCCTCCTCTATTGTCACCGTCCTCCATTCCTCCATCACCCATCCTCCATTCCTCTATTATCACCATCCATCCTCCATTCCATCATCACCGTCCTCCATTCCTCCATCACCGTCCTCCATCCATTCCTCCATCACCGTCCTCCATTCCTCCATCACCGTGCTCCATTCCTCCTCCATTACCATCCTCCATTCCTCTATTATCACCGTCCTCCATTCCTCTATTGTCACCGTCCTCCATTCCTCCATCACCATCCTCCATTCCTCTATTGTCACCGTCCTCCATTCCTCCATCCTCCATCACCATCCTCCATTCCTCTATTATCACCGTCCTCCATTCCTCCATCACCGTCCTCCATTCCTCCATCACCGTCCTCCATTCCTCTATTGTCACCGTCCTCCATTCCTCCATCACCGTCCTCCATTCTCATTGTCACCTCCCCATTCTCCGTCCCTCCATTCCTCTATTGTCACCATCCTCCATTCCTCCATCACCGTCCTCCATTCCTCCATCATCGTCCTCCTCCTTTCCTCCATCACCGTCCTCCATTCCTCCATCACCGTCCTCCATTCCTCTATTATCACCGTCCTCCATTCCTCCATCACCATCCTCCATTCCTCCATCACCGACCTCCATTCCTCCCATCATCGTCCTCCTTTCCTCCATCACCGTCCTCCATTCCTCCATCACCGTCCTCCATTCCTCTATTGTCACCGTCCTCCATTCCACCCATCCATTCCCGTCCTCCATTCCTCCATCACCGTCCTCCATTTCCTCCATCACCGTCCTCCATTCCTCCATCACCGTCCTCCATTCCTCCATCACCGTCCTCCATTCCTCTATTATCACCGTCCTCCATTCCTCCATCACCGTCCTCCATTCCTCCATCACCGTCGTCCATTCCTCCATTTCCTCCATCACCGTCCTCCATTCCTCCATCACCGTCCTCCATTCCTCCCACCGTCCTCCATTCCTCCATCACCGTCCTCCATTCCTCCATCACCGTCCTCCATTCCTCCATCACCGTCCTCCATTCCTCCATCACCGTCCTCCATTCCTCCATCACCGTCCTCCATTCCTCTATTATCACCGTCCTCCATTCCTCCATCACCGTCTCCATTCCGTCCTCATCACCGTCCTCCATTCCTCCATCACCGTCCTCCATTCCTCTATTATCACCGTCCTCCATTCCTCCATCATCATCGTCCTCCTTTCCTCCATCACCGTCCTCCATCCATCTCCTCCATCACCGTCCTCCATTCCTCCATCACCGTCCTCCATTCCTCCATTGCTCCATCACCGTCCTCCATTCCTCCATCACCGTCCTCCATTCCTCCATCACCGTCCTCCATTCCTCCATCACCGTCCTCCATTGCTCCATCACCGTCCTCCATTTCTCCATCACCGTCCACTGATGTGTGAACCTTGCCCTGTATAGGAGGCCCTCCATCCCCCTCAGTAGAGGCCTTCCCCTCATACTTTGCTCCTCTTCTTGCACCCCAGATTGGTCCTTCAGGCCGGAGTGTCCCCTTCCCCCGCACACAAGAACGGGGATGTCCTGTGATGTTACCTCCGGTGTAGGTCGTTCAGGTGACCTCACTAGTGGGGTGCAGGGCGGGGATCCC